ACTGATTATGGATGGAGGTTGAAAAAGCATATTTCCAAATTTCAGAAGTTCTTCCAAATTTATTTTCAGTATTGTTTTTGTTTCCTTTTCATTTTCACACCAGTTAATTCTATTTCCGTGTGATAGGAAGTTTGGTTTAGACTCAATACTCATAACCTTGCTTGGCTTAAAACAAAGCCATTGGGGACATAAAACGATGTTCTCCTCTGACATCGTTAAGAAGATGTATCAACTAGGTGAAAGAACAAAGTTTAAAGAAGGTTGTTGATGGTCATGGTGGAATGGTATGACATAAGAATGGTTGTGGATAATGCCAAAATTTAGTTGGTCTGATCTTCTAAACTAGGCTAAGCTTGGGCTTGAATAATCAATCTGCTGCTTCCTGAAATATACTGGATCTGTCTATTTTAAATTTGAGTTTGGTCAAATCTAGTTTTTAAGGGAAACAAAATATATCCTTTCCAAACCCAAATCTGAACTTTCCAAACCAGACGGGATAATCCAAAGTTGACTTTCCAAAATCAGTAGCGCTGAAATTTTGGTGATTACAAAGATTGCAATAACCCAAAGTTGACTTTCCAAAATTAGCCTAAAATTTTGGTGACAACTAACAACCAGACGGGATAATCCAAAGTTAACTTTCCAAAATCAAAAGCGCTGAAATTTTGGTGACAATAAGGATTGCAAAGATTGCAATTACCCAAAGTTCACTTTCCAATAACCCAAAGTTGACTTTCCAAAATCAGTCTAAAATTTTGGTGCCAACTAACAACCAGACGGGATAATCCAAAGTTAACTTTCCAAAATCAATAGCGCTGAAATTTTGGTGACAATAAGGATTGCAAAGATTGTAATAACCCAAAGTTCACTTTCCAAAATCAGTCTAAAATTTTGGTGACAACTAACCATCGTAAAGATTGCAATAATCCAAAGTTGACTTTCCAAAATCGTGAAGAGGATGCCAAAATTTTGGTGAAAATTGCAAAGATCTAGGTAGACGTTGACAAATTAGTGTGAATAAGAACTGGCAACGACGATGAAATAATGAGTTCGACGGCGAACTCTGGAGAAAGACATTGGCTATTATGCAATGATTACTTTTCGATGATGGGGTGATGAGATTGTGGGGACGATGATAGACCCTTCGGAGATGGTTGTTGGTTATCGTCGAATTTTGCGGGTAGGGTTCTGAACTAAATGGATGTTCGTTGGTTGTTCAAGGTTTGAGAAATGGTATGGGATTACAGGTTTTTTTTTTTTTTTTTTTTTTTTTGGCTAGGTTAATGGAGTTTGGGAACATATGTTTGGTGGTAGATGGTGGAGGTTGCGTTGGGTTTTAATTGATGACCAATAATCAGAACAGTAACTTAGTGATTGTTGTGAACAGTGAAAGATTTTCTTGAAATATTTGCTTTGAATAAACTTGATTTTTTCGCTCTCTTAAAGTATTTGCTTTGAATAAACTTGATTGTTTTGCTCTAAAAACAATTGATGCAGCAGCAGTTAGGGGCAATTCGAAATTAGAATTCAAGTAGAATAAGAACGGGATTGAGAGAAAAAAGGAAAGAATAATAGAGGAAAGGGAAATCAAAAGAGAATAATAATAGAGGGAGAATAAATCACGATAATCTCATAATTCAATATCAATAATAATCATCAAAAGTGATTTTTTCACAATGTCTTAACCAGCATTATATAGGGATCCACTACAACAAATAAGGTTTTCAGCGACGGTCTAAACTGCCGGTGTTAGGTACAAAAAGCGCCAGTAATACATATACCGGCGGTTTAAGATAACCGCCGGTATAGTCACCGCCGGTAAGCTTCACCGGCGGTTTATAAGCAACTGCTGGGTTTAAAATCATTATTGGCGGTCCAATAAAACCGCCGGTGAAATTTTAATTAACGGCGTTCTTGTCTGCCGGTATATTTTAAGTAAACTGTCATTGTAACTGTCTATTCTGGCACTTTGAAGCGCTGGTAATGTATATTCTTTTTAGGGGCGTTTGTAACTGCTGGTGTTAGAATTTATCTCCGGCACCTTAAAGAGTCGGTAATGTATAATTTTTTCTTTTTAGGGGTGTTTTAAATCGCCGTTTTTAACGATATACTCCAGCAATTTAAAGCGTCGGTAATGTATAATTTTTTACTTTTAGGGGCGTGTTAAATTGTCAGTGTATTGTAAGTGAACTGTAATATTTTTTTCTTTTGGGGCGTTTTAAACCGCCGGTAATGTGTTAATTTTTTAAAAAAAATATATATTTTTTTCTAGTTTAATTTACATATTAGCAAATATTTTATTTTGTTCCCTGTTCACTGAAATCACATGTAATTTACCAATCACAACACATCCAACAACTTAAATTTGATATATAACATAGAACAAAGAAAGTTGCATTAAAATTCAATAACATCCCATAACATCTAAGTTTTGTTTCAAAATGTCAAGTGCTAATAAAAGGTTCAAAAGGAAATCATGCAAAATAAAACATCAACATTTCATTGAGAATTTGAGTGAGACTATGCGAGGGCCTTGAGAATTAATGGTTCAATTTCATCTCTCGTCTTCCTTCAAATTGCCTTACATACATTTTAAATAAAAGCCATGAAACAAAGAATAATAATTAAGACAATTAAATGTATGGTTAAAAAAAATGATAATTAAAATCTAAATGCTCACCAAGGATGAAATTCCGTGACCAAAAATAAAGTTTAAGGATCACCAAGTGTAGTAGTTGAGGAGCCGGGTACCTTCACAATAAAATATAATTTTATTATGCACCTTCATAATACAATATAATTATAAATATATTAGGACTTCTAAAATTTATATAGTTAAATGTTTACAAGGGTACAATAACAAAATTATTTACCTGTACATTAGAATTTTGTTTTTCGATATGACGCAAAATCATAGCCATCTTTGCATTCAAAGCTTCATATTTTTCATCATACTCGGCACGCATCTTGTCCACTTTCTCATTCATTTCTGCACGAGCAAGACGTGCCTCTTCCTCTACTTGTGAGGTCCTCCTTATCAGCTCCGCTTTACTAGGAGATGGCCCCCAAAGACTGGTTGGCGTAAGTCCCAAGCCATACATCCGAACACGGCCCCTTCTTTCTTCTCCCCTAACTTGGGCATAAAAATCATGGGGTGAAGGTTCATCTGGGTTAGAAGGCTGAGTTGCAGCAAGCTCTTCTAGTTATGTCTGCATACATAGAATGGATAAGGAAACACAAAAAGATAAAAAATATCAAATATAATAAATTTTAGTACTCATATTTTACACTTAATCAAACTAGAAAATAAATAATTGAAGGTCTAAAAAAATTCTTACAATCATTTTGGCAACATGTTCATCACTAGCTTTGCCATCCTTCTTGCTCTTATGTGTTGCGCAAAATAGTTGAGCACGAGTTGGCGCCTTCCCTGATTCCAAATTCATCTTTTTTTTTTTTTTTTTTAATATATATATATATATATAATTATAATTATATCGCACTGATGTATAATAAATTGTGTGACATACAAGTGATTAACTTCAAAAAAAAACAGACTTAACCTTTTCAGCCTTCCGCGCATAACTCATTGTCCCAGTTGTGTGCAGCATTGTTTGCTTAGAGCAATTTACTTCATTTTGTTGGCTTTGTTTCTAAAACAAAGGAATAAGAAGGTATATATTAGCCTTTTAAATTGTAAACACACACATGTTATATATGAGCTAAGTAGATTAATCCTTATTTTTAAATAAATGTTATATATGTTACAGGTTAAGTGAACACTAACTATGAAAAAATCAGCAGGATGTCTAACAACTAAATGATTCAACATTCTTTTGTACATTGACTTCCTCTTTGTTTTTACAACTAAAGTTGTCCTGTAATATCATTTCTACTCCATTTATTAGCTTCTTGCTAGTTGCTTTTGCTTGTAATCTATATCAACTTCTAGTTTTTTGGTGAAATTGTTTAAGAATAAATAAAACTTGGTTCTGCTACATTACTATCCTTTAAGGTTACTTTCATTTCAGGTTGTAAATGACTTGTTAAATCCAGCGGGATAGAATCTAAGAATCAGAGAGGACACTCAGGTACTTTTTACCATTTTATTGTTATTATGATTTAGTAATTGTTATTGGCTGAACTTGGCAAAGCTTTAGCAGAAAATGTGTTGAATATGACACATACAAGGATACATCAAAAGCTTCTATTTCTTAACTCTCATGACATTCGAGCTGGAGCCTACAATTTTTTTTTTTTTTTTTTGGGTAAATGGGGCCTTCAGTTTTTGTAAGGTGCATATAGACAATTTTTTTTGTTTTTTTGTTTTTTGGGGGGGTGCGTTCCAGAATTTGTATGCAAGGCTTAAATTTTGAACTTAAAACCTATCAAGGATCAAAGTCCTAAAAGCTCCTGGCTATGTGTCATAATACCTCTCAACAAATCTATGGCCATGTGCTTAGTTTCAGCACTGGATCATGCTACCACTGTCTACTTCTTACTTGACCAATTACATTTACAAATTCTAAAAGGGTATTTGAATGACAACTTATTTCAAATGTTAGATTAATTTCATGGTCTAACATTGACTTTTTTCTCTCTACTTCTCTGTTCCTTAACTGAAAAAAACTAGAATAAAATGCTAGAAGCTGACTGAAAAAAACTAGAATAAAATGCTAGAAACTGACTAGGAAAAAATAGTAGAAACTGACTAGGAAAAAATGCTAGAAATCATTCAACAACCAAATCAAGCAACCAAATAGCAACCCTGAACCACCAATTCAGCCACCCATAGCAATCAACACCCGAATTCGAACTCCAACAACCAAATCAAGCAACCAAACAGCAACCTCGAACCACCAATTCACATGTCCTCTTTAATTATCCAATTGTAAATAAGCATTATCCAATTTTAAATACACATTAGATGGGAATATACCTATATACATGGAATGATAAATCTAATATTATTAAATAACCTAAATAACATTATGAATTACCTGTGCTGCCTCTGTACGCCAATATCTAATGAGATAATCCCATTGGTCCTCCTCAACACTTGGTGGTGGGTTTGCATATCGTTGTTCATCTGTACGCCAAATTTTATAATAGTTACTTTTAATTTCACTCTTCCAATCTCTTCATTTATGACCAAAGGATGATAATGTCCAATCTTTTGAGATTTCTTCTACTACAAACTTGCCCTGCATATAAAAAATAAATAAATAAAGAATCGAGTAATTAAAGAAAAAAAAAAATTAACTCTAGAAATGAAATGTGTATACAAGTGAAATCAGTCAGTCAAAAATGTGAAGAGTCGAAAAAATTTTACCCGGACCATCGTCCACATGTCCTCTTTAACTATTTCAGGGACTTTCTTCCAATTTTTATAGTTCAAGGGAGCTGCAAGACCATTACGGGCAATTGTGCCCAAATAATTAGCGAAATTTTTTTCATCGGCTCCATTAGGCTGTCCATGCTCATTCACACTGTAAAATGGTATAATAATAAATAAGTCATCGATTTGGACCAAATAAGTAAAATCCTATAATAATAAATAAGTCATTCACACTATAAAATGGCTTCACTTGCATGCATTTCCTAAAACTTTATAGTCATTTAATGCCATCATTTAAATAAAGTCACCTTAATGGTATCAGGCCATTCTTTTTGGTGTCATGTTGTACCACATTTGCGCAGCGTGTGGAGCCTTGAGTCTTCTTCGGTGGTCTTAACTCATTGCTTTCAGTAGTCCCCACGTCCTCTTCTTGTGAACCATGGGAAGTATGGGACTGCGAATTTGAACCCTGAGAAAGTCCTCCATGCAATTCTAATTCCAAGTTTATTGTTGCCCTACGTTTCATTATGTTCCTGGATAAAGCTAACAAACCTTTGTTGCCATGTTTATTCAAGCTGGTAGTTAAGATGAAATGTAGGCTGAATATATTAGGTCTTCAAAAACATCAAAATTTGGAAAAGTAACACACTTGAGAACAATTACAATATGCAAGAAGGAAGTATAAATTTACTTAAGTATGATAGTACCACAGTTTTATTTGTTTTAGGACAATATCAATTTGAAATATGTTAAAAAAAAAATAATAAATAACTAATATTATGTATACTCTTTTTACTTACCAAGTTATAAGAAAATGAGTAAGGGAGGGAGAGATGGAAAAAAAATCATAATATTCCATACGCACGAAGCCAAAAAAAAAGATGAAAATAAGAAAATGCAACATTATTTGCAACATTTAAGAAAAAATTATCATCACTCTAAGTATGTTATTCATCCGGAATATCTTCTTTTTCCGTGTTTGCTGATGAAGATTTATCAACCATTGTTCCAGGCACATCACCTCTATCCCAATGAATGTGATCATCAGTTGTATCCGGGTGTAGAGAACTAAATGGTTGCTCAAATCCATAGGTCTCAGTATCATCTTCAGGAATATCATATAAATCACGAGGTTTTGTCCCTATAACAACATGCCAATCTGTATCAACCGGGTCTTGAACATAAAACACTTGCTCAGCCTGAGATGCTAGAATGAATGGTTCATCAATTCGCATTACACGTGAAAAATTAATGAGTGTAAACCCAAAATCATCCTCCTTTATCCCTCTACCCTTAGAGAGTACATCAAACCAATCACACTTGAACAATACAACCTTCCTTTCTTCAATGTAGTCCAACTCAATGATATCAGTCAATAATCCGAAGTAATGAACATTTCCTGCAATAGGATTTTGATCACTAGCTCTTGCATAACTTGATGTGTGTGCTTTTAAAACAACACCACTATTTTGGGTCTTCCTCTGATTATCACGATCTCTAACATTAAACTTAAACCCATTAATCATGAATAACTTAAATCGTTTGGAAACGACATTAGGACCCCGAGCTAGCCATCGAATCTCATTAGGGATAGGATCCTCCGTATTCCACAGCTATATTTTCAAAGATGTAAGTTTTACAATAAAGTAAATAGCATATATAATATAAAATTTAATTAACTGTTCTATGTGTAGAGACTTACACATTCATTAAACCACTTATGAAATGATAGATGAGACATTGATTGTATTTGTCGTGGCTTTAAATTCTATTGCCTTCTTTTAAGCAATTTCTTATGCTTTCTGTAATGAAAAAATATCATACTCTATATGTTATATTGTTAACAACAAATGAATAATAATAATAATAACAACTAGGTCAAATATTGTAAACTTTTCACTTACTCAATGAATTGTGTAGCTCCGTCGTAGTTAAATAACACATACCGATGAACTTGTGTTTGACAATCATCATCTAAAACAATCATCTCCTGTTTTCCTAAGGCACGACCTCTAGGGCCAAAAGTAGACATCTCTTCTCCATCATCAAGGTTGTCATCATTCCTTGAGGGCCTATTGAACCTTGTCTCCATGTTTGCTAGGTATCTTGAACAAAAATTTAAGCATTCCTCAACTAAATACCCTTCTGCAATTGAACCCTCTGGGCGACTTCTATTGCGCACATAATTTTTTAAGGTTAAAAGATACCTGATAGGATATAACAAAAAAATGAGAAGTATTTGCAATATTTAGTGGGGAAAAAAGCCTACGAAAATAGTGCAAAAAAGGTAAACCTCTCAAATGGACACATCCAACGATATTGCACTGGTATTGCGATCTTTGCTTCCTGAGCTAAGTGAATTGATAAGTGGACCATCACATCAAAAAAAGATGGTAGGAATATCATTTCCAATTTACAAAGTGTTAAAGCAATCTTATTTTGCAAATTGTCCAACTCAGCCGGTATGAGAGTTTTTGAACAGAATTCCTTATAAAAGTTACTCAACTCAACAAGTGTAAAGCATACATTCTTTGGCAATAGCTTGCGAATGGATACTGGTAATAGTTGTTGCATTAGGATGTGGGAATCATGGCTCTTTAAACCGCTAATTTTACGCTCTTTCAATTTCACACAACGTGATATGTTAGCTGCATATCCATCTGGAACTTTAACTTTTTTCAACGCCTGACAAAAGATTTTCTTTTCAAGTGGAGAAAATGTGTAACTTGCTGAAGGCAAATAATATTTGTTTGCACCACGTTCCTGGGGGTGAAGTGAGTGCTTTATTTGCATTTCCTGTAAGTCGAGTCTTGATTTTAAACCATCATTTCCTCTACCCGGTTCATTCATCAAAGTATAAAGTACATTGTCGCATATATTCTTCTCAATATGCATCACATCAAGATTATGACGAATAAGAAGGTGCTCCCAATAAGGCAATTCAAAAAATATACTCTTCTTCCTCCAATTGAACATTGGATTTTCATCCATTTCATCCACTTGTGCAGCATTCCCCTTGCCATCATCCCCTTTCCCAAATGCTGGAAAGCTAATGCCCTCTAGTTCATGTAGCACTTCTGTTCCAGATAACATAGGTGGTGCACACCTAGTCTCTTCTGTTCCATCAAAAGATGCTTTATTGCGTCTGAATCTATGATATTGCTCAGCAAAATGCCTATGGCCTGTATAACAAATTTTTTTGCTATGCTTTAACCTACAAGAACAAGTTTCTTTAAGACAAACTGGATAAGCCAAATACCCCTTTGTACTCCAACCAGATAAGTTTGCAAAAGCAGGAAAGTCACTTATAGTCCACAATAACGCTGCATGCATGCGAAACATCCCTTTTCTCGACGTATCATAGGTATCCACGCCTTCAACCCACAATTCCTTTAATTCTTCTATCAAAGGCTGCAAATATACATCAATATCATTTCCAGGACCCTTAGGACCAGGGATTAAGGTGGACAGTATGAAAAAAGGTTGTTTCATGCACATCCACCCTGGCAAGTTGTATACAGCAAGAACAACAGGCCATGTACTATGTGCAATACTCATAGTCCTAAATGGGTTGAAACAGTCTGATGCTAGGCCAAGTCTAACATTTCTAGAATCCCTAGCAAACTCTGGATACTTTTTGTCAAAATGATCCCACACTAGAGAGTCAGCAGGATGTCTTAATTTTCCATCTTTTATGCGTTCTTCCTCATGCCATCGCATATCTGAAGCTTTCTTATTTGACATGAACAATCGTTGAAGTCTTGACTTAAGAGGGAAATACCTTATAACTTTAGCTGGAATTTTTGTCTTTTTTGATGGGGGTGATGTACTTGTACTGCCCTCGGAATGAGTGTCAAAATCCTTCCACCTAGACTTGCCACATTTATGACATGTTTCATCATTAGCGTGCTCCTTCCAGTACAACATACAATCAAAGGGACATGCATCAATCTTATCATACTTGAGACCTAAGTTACTAATTATCTTTTTTGTCTCGTAAAAAGATTTTGGCAGTGTCTCACCTTCTGGTAGTACATCTTTCAAAAACATTAGCAACTTACTAAATGATTTATCAGTCCAATGATGCAAAGTTTTCAACAAATATAGTTTCACTGTAAAAGACAACTTCGTAAAGTTTTTACACCCAAGATATATATCTGTTTTTCCATCATCTAGAAGCTTGTAAAACTTATCTGCCTCTTCATTAGGGCCCTGATGATACTCATTTTCCCTATCAGCTTGTTCACCCATTTCATTTTGAATTCCAAAACCCTCATATAAGAGTTCATGCATGTCATCATTATTTACATTGGAGTCGATGGGCTCGTATAAGGTGTGCCCATCATCATGCCTAGAAGACGAAGGTAATTGTTCTCCATGATAAATCCAAGTTGTGTATGTTTGGATAAACCCATTCCACATCAAGTCATCCAAAACTTCTTGTCGTGTTTTCTTGATACAATTCCCACAATTGTTACAAGGACAATATATGCGTTCACTCTGCCCAACTCGCTCAAACGATGTATCTAGAAATTGTTCAACTCCATTCGAGTATGTAGTACTTATCCTATTTGTATAGTAAGAAAGACAAAAGTAAAAATGAATTTATCGTAAATATCTAAACCAAAATGAGAATTAAGCTTTATTTATTTATTATTTTTTTGAAAATTGACGAGACTAAAATTTAAAGTACCTTGACTCCGTAATCCAACTTCTGTCCATTATGATAGATTCTATAACCTAATGAAAGAAATTATATATGAATCTCTACAAAATAATAAATATATTACAACAAAGTTACAAAAGTAACAAAGTAATAAAAATTATTTATTATCCTCATGAAGAATAATACATATGAGAGAGAGTGTTGGTTTTAACTATAAATATAAGTTTAATGCATTGGATTTCTTTTCCTTTTCCTTTTTCAGTTTTCAGTTTTCTTTTCCTTTTTCCTTTTCAGTTTTAATACATACAAGTTTACTTTAATTCATGACAAAAAGTTATGGCTTGACTAGTTAATCTATTTTGTGAACACTAAAACCAAAAGTTAGGGTTCACATCCATAACAAAAGTTGTTGGAATTTAAAGAATACGACAAATTGGAAGAACCCATGTATCTCACCAATCAATGAATTCTTAAGAAAGAGACCCTATTAACATAATACAAGCCACAAAAATACAAACTACAATATAAGAACAATAAAAACCCATCTGTTTAGAAAACAAATAAGCCAAAGCAGCAGAACCAATATGAAAGCCTCAAAATCAGCAACAACATACCGAAAATCAGCAACAACATACCGAAAATCGGCAACAACATTACCCTATTTCCTTCAAAAATCAGAAGCCCCAAAATCGGCAACAACATACCAAAAATCGGCAATAACATTACCCTATTTCCTTCAAAAATCAGAAGCCCCAAAATCGGCAACAACATACCAGAAATTATATATGCAGTAGTTGGAGCTGATTTGTTCAAGAAAGAGTAGAATGGAGAAAAACCCAAAACATATATGCAATTGTTCATCTTTACTTAAGAAATTAACAACAATATAAGCTAATTACTTAAGAGAGAGAGAGAGATAAGTGGAGCTCTTAAGAAGGGAGGGATTAGGGTTAGAAGTTTTTAGAACTAACCGTATTCCAACTGAACAACCACCACTATGCAGATCTCTGATGCGCCACCAATCGGCCACCATCGCCGTGATCTTCCCTGCGCCACACCAACCGCACCACCAAGGTTTGAAGCCGTGAGTCAGTGAGAGAATAGAAGGGAGGAATAGAAATCGTGTGAATAGTAATAGCCTCCCCTAAACGTGATTTTTAGGAAAATAATAATAATACATAAAATAATAACAATTAAATAAAAATTACATAATTTCTGGCATATTTTTTATACCCGCCGGAATTAGTTTTTATCATACCGCCGGTATAATAACCAATAATGGCAGTTTATTATACACTGCCGGTAAAAATTAATTAACAGCGGCACACACATAAAAACTGCCGGTAAAAATGATATTTCTTGTAGTGATCGAAGAAAAATCCTAATCAAACTATTACCATAAATAGAAATCCTAAAATCAAATAATAATAATAAAAGTCAAAATTCCTAATTTTATCTTTCCTTCCCACGTTTCCAATAATAAGCGTGCGACGTATGAATTTCAAGCTTTCGCGTCAGGCCCGGTTCTTCATCACTAAGCGTATGCTTCGCAACACGGAAGCTTTCTCCTGAGCATATGAAGTTTCGACCTGTTATGCCAATGTTCTTTAGTGAGTGTCAGATTCAATTTGTTCAAATGGTGAAACCTATACGGTTAGCGTAGTCATAATAGAAATCTCTTACATCATCGATCTAGTGACGGAAAAGTCATCCCACTAAATAGTTCTCAATTTTTCACATTTAAACTGCTCGTTGATGAAAGAATCAAACTCAAATTGTTTGGCATAATCATTTAAAGGGGAAGCTCTTTTAGGAGAATAAAAAATAGAGTTACGATATTCTAGGACGAGGAAAGTGTGATGGCCCTGGTTTTTTAAGCCAGTGTGTCCTGTGATGAACCGAGGATTAACCCGATAACGGATCCAAATGCAAAAGCAGAAACAGAAAACATGACCCTGGAGATGCAATGCATCTCTACGAAGGTAGAGTGACCTTCCATGAGGCCACGGATCTCAACAAGAACAATGCAGAAATGAATGATCAGAAAAAAAAAAAAAAAAAAAAAAAAAAAAAAAGACCGAACAGGCCCCCAAGGGCAAAATAGTCTTTTCACATGGAAGCAACGTCCTTGGGAATGTACATCATTCCTGAGACACATACATGACTTTCCATAAAGTCAGGGAACTCAAAAAAAAATTAGTGGAAGCAAATTAAAAGAAAACCGGACAAACCCCAAAGGCAAAATAGTCATTTTTGAAAATATAAAATTGGATGCTACCGAGCACACCACTAGAAATACAGCAAAAAAATAATCAAGCTAGACCTAAGAATCACTTGATTCGGAGTCCGGATGAAGAAGATATGAAACTCCAAAGTTTCAAAAAAATCAAACGTTCCGGGTTAAAAATCGGTGCGGTAAGGGTACTTTACAAGGGTTAAAATGGTCTTTTCAGATGAAACTAGATGCAATTGAGTATACTATTAGATAGACAAGGAAAAAGTAATAAATCTAGACTCAGGAATCACTTGATTCGGAGTCCGGATGAAGAAGATATAAAACGTCAAAGTTTCAAAAAAAACCAACTTTTGGGTTTAAAATCAGTGCAGCAAGAGGGGTAAAATGGTCTTTTAAGATAGAATTGAATGTAACCGTGCATACCCTTGGATAGACAAGCAAAAGTTAATAAACTTAAAGTCAAAAATCACTTGATTTGGAGTCGGGACGAAGGAGATATGAAGCCTCAAAGTTTCATGAAAACCAACTTTTCCGGGTAAGAAATCTGGGCAGGAATAGTGTTTTGACATAAAGCATCTTTTGATTATTTCCCCAGAACTGAGGCTAAAAACGGACCCTTAAACGATTTTTTCTGGAAAAACACGAAGAAGAAACCCCCTTTAAAATTACGTTTTCTACCCTGCAAAGTGAGGGAAACAAAAAAAAACACGCTGTAAAATCCCTAAAATGCCCCTAGATCAGCATAGATCTAGAGAGTCCAAAAAGCTGTTACACAATTTTTTTCAGGATCAATCCACAACTGAGAGCAAAAACGGGTTATCAAACGAATTTTCCTAGAAAAACACGAAAAAAAACCCCTCCCAAAATCGAGTTTTTTATCTGGCAATGCAAAAGAAAATGAAAAAAACACACTGTGAAATGCCCAAAATTCCCCTAGATCAGTAAAGGGTCAAAAACTCAGAAAATGCAACTTTGCACCAAGTATGCATTTGGCCCTAAATGCATTTCTAAGTTGAAACGAATGTGCATACAAGTGTATTTAGTGTTTTTAAGTGCGCGGGAATGGTCTGTGGCTCTCAAAAATGGCCGATGCAAAATTCGACCCCCCGACAGCCAAAAGAGGTGAAAATGCACATGAAAAGGAAATTTTGAAATCCAAAAATATAAAATAGAGTCAAATTACCGTTTGGCCCTTAACCGCACTTCAAACAAGATTAATGATAAATGCTGAAAAGTGCGCATTTAAAGCCCTTAAACTCGAGTATTCTAGGACCTTTATCTATCTTATTTTCCTGTTTTATTCTAATTTCATATTATTGCCCTTTTCAGGTGCTTATCACAAAAATAAGTTAATTCAGCCAAATAAAAGCATGAAAGAAGTTATCTCAAGCTGAATGGAAGAAATGAGCAAAGTGGAAGCAAAATGAAGCAAAGTATGGAAAATCAGCAAGTTCGATCGATCTCAACAGTCCTTTGATCGATCTGGAGATGATCGATCTACCCAGTTCAAGATGGATCCAAGCCTTTGTCCTTATCTAAAAGAGTCCAACAAGTTCGATCGATCCAACATTCTTCGATTGATCGAAATGATTCAATCTTATCCACACCTACCACTCCACCTACCACTTTTGTCTCTTTTCCAAAATATCTCAAAATATCTCAGAGATTTGTCTTTATTCGGAAAGCCACCGCCAAAGATGATCGATCTCTGCAGTATTCGATGGATCTCACCCAAGTTCGATCGATCTCAACACAGTTCGATCAATCGAACCTCCTCAAATACGAAAAAAAAAATAGATTTCAGCTCATTAAAAATTGGCTCATGAAGCAATCATTGGAGGGACCTTGGTGTACGAGCCCAGACCATTGGGTGTGACACTTGAGCTACCTATATAAGGATTTGGAGCCATTTTAAGAGCAACAATCAACATAACTTGATAATCTCATTTCTTGGAGAGGAGGCTAGAGAAAGCTTTTTACACCTTTTTGGGAACTCTTCCATTCTTCTAGGGTTTCCATCAAGAAGGAGGTCTACCATGGAGATAGCCCTTGAGGGTTGGATGACTACTTCAGTGAGTGGCTAGACATCTACTTGGGGCTAGAGTAGCTCCTAAGTTTGCTTCCTAGACCTAGTGTTTTGTATATTTTTAGGGATTTATTTGTAACAAATATTTTGATATTGGATTTATATATATATCTTGTGATTTCTACTTGATGTGTATAGATTAATGCTTTCAATTGATCATCTATTTCTATTCATATGTCTATATATGCTAGAATGGATGATTCATGTGTTTTCTCTAGATTTAGTGGAATTTATGCATATCTATGTGTATGGATGAAGTTAATCTAGAGATGGTCAAAACATAGTGCTTAATTGAACACTCTTGCAATTTATTTGATGATTCACACTTGTATCTTGATGGATTATGCCACACCTTTAACTTACTTAGTTTAATTTCCATGTTTTTAGTGTAGATGTAGTGTAGTTGTTTTAGATTCATAGATAGGTGGACAATCTATTCTTGTTCCTTGGTGTTCCATACTTATGAATGCAAAGGGTGTATGTTTCTAAATAGTTGTGTGTGCATAAATTGTGGTTTCATTGAATGGATTTTGGTCTCATTTGATAGGTTGTGCTTTCCATATGAATTGGTTAGAGAATCTATACTTATTTGATATCCATGCCTAGTTTCAATTAATGTCACACACACACACAAGTAACAATTCAATTCCCCATTGTTACACAATTGCTAGTGTCTGGTGAAGTAAAACTTAGTGGTGAGCTCTAGTACCCCAAGTCCTCTCCTCTATATCTTTTTCCCTATTTTCTACACTTATTCTATTTTGCTTGTTTTAATTAGTTTGCATTGTAGTTTAATCAACCAAATAAACAACCTTTTGATCATTCAACCTACTAACCCTATATATTGTTTCTATTGCAAATACGCCCACAATCCCTTGGGATCCCTACTTACCCTAGCTATATTATTTTTAGTTAGAGGTAGTAATGGCATTTATAAATTTAAAACTTGACCACACTATTTTATTCCACAAATTTGGAAGCAATGCGACCTAGGCTCCACCAATTAATAAGACCCTATGGAAGAATAAAATTGGAATTCCCACACCCGATGCAAACGTGGTGAAGCAATGACTTGGCATTTTTCTATTTTTTTCAAAATAAACATTGAAAGTGAAAATGCATAGAATATAAATTAGATGTCATTGGCCTATAGTCTCATCTCATACATGTCAAATACATTGTAAAGAGTGTACTTATGTACACCTTACATGTTTAAAATCAAATATACACATTTTGACATACAAGGCTACAAGTGGCATTTTCAAGCCAACTTTTACAAGAATTTGAAACCTTCAAGTCTACAAATCATCTAAGCACAATGTGAATCTTGAATCTTGATTCTTGTACCTGAAAAATGTCCCCACTACGTGGGTGAGTAACATAAAGCTACTCGTAGGAGATAAGCATGCAAAGACCTAACGTTTTACAAACCTATTAAGTTGCAATAATTTAACTCAAATGGTCATGCCACCTAGCGTCTATGTCAAAGGTGAGACTCAGGGAGCATCCTAAGCTACCTAGAGTATTCCTAGCATAAACCATATCATTCATGCAATTTAAACAACAGAGGAGCATGCGGTACACGCAACAAGTCATTCAATATACAAGTATACGTACACAAGTATACTATCAAGATTAAAATG